TTGCATGGTCGAAGCTTTATTGGAGGTAAGCATACATGAACGAGTTTCGTTCCATAAATAGCGAAGAAATAAATACAAGACTAGTAGGACAAATATGGTGATGAGAATTATTCTTTGAATCTACCACATCACTAGTGTGAATTTAGCAGAATATAAAAGACGAAATGGAAGAGAAAGCACGATAGATTTAGTAGTCCTGACGTTCGTAGGGAAGAGGCACTGGCGTGGGTGCCACGGGGAGGTGGTCGCCCACGGGCTGGTAGCCGCCCACACCGGAGGTGAAGCTGAGCTTGATGGGCACGCCTTCGGGAGCGGTGTAGCTGGAGAAGGGACAGAGGCGTTTAGAGATATGCCACACAGCTTTGGCGCACACATGGTTGTGAGATCAAGGTTCTGAAGGGATATGGTTGATGTGTGTTTGCGAAGCGTAAGGGACTCACCTCCATCCTCCCGAGGACTCCTGGCCATCAGCCTGTTTTCCGGCCTCGTTCCTGGCGATGCCGTTTCCAGTCTCGAAGTCGAAGGTGTACTCGCCGTAGGCGTTCTGTGTGCGGTCGTCCTTGAGGATCGGGATGGGCGTCTTGTAGCTGTCGGCGACGACCACGGCCACCAGGCAGGCGAGCTGTGTGGGGATTCAAGCGTTAGAATCACACATACAAAGGCAATTTCAGGAATTCTTTCCTTATGGACAAAGTGTTTTTTTCTGGTTCTTTTCGTTTCGTCACAATACACTATTTTTCCAGCTATGACCATAGATTTGTTCGAACAAGAGAAGCTAAATCGCTCACAACAAGAAGACGTTGCATTGTGATGGCTGTGCAGCAGTGTTGTTGTTCCGAAAGGCGGCGGCTCTTTATATAGACGGTCCATAGTGGGTGGAGCTGTAGGGTTGTGGGCGGACCACGAGCTTTCCGTCAGGGAATGAAAGTATTACCTTGAGTAGCTACAAATGGAAAATGTGAATTCATACACCTTGTAGGCACACACGCACACACACATGTATGAGTGTGTGTGTGTGTGTGTTTTATGTGTCTATTTGCATGTGTGTACTTGTGTGTGTGTGTTTTATGTGTCTATTTGCATGTGTGTACTTGTGTGTGTGTGTATGGGCGTTTGTGTTTATATATGCATATATATGTGTGTGTGTTTGTGTTTGTATACAAACGGACGCATATATTTATTCATACTCACATATAATTACCTACACACACATACACGTGTATTGAGAGAGAGGGAGAGAGATCTGTAACTGAGCCCTAACGTCAGCATGCTGGGTTAAAGTTGGGTCAGAAAGTACCTGCCTCCCTTCCGCATTATCCCGTGATTTAGGATGCATGTTCCTATACGAACATGTGTTTTACGTCCATGTGGTTAAGAGACCCGCTTGAATCGATGTACATATATAGTTCATATATACGTGTGCACGCATACACATATATATACGAGTATATGTACGCCTAATGCTGCGTTCGGAACCCCTCGTCTTGCTCGTTCGTACATCTTGTCCAGGACCAGCAGGACAAGTGGGTGTGTTCGGAATCTCCAAGACCCTCGCTGCCCAGAGTGCAACTGGCTCTAATGTAAACATTCACTTTTTTATTATACCGGTGTCTTTATTTTACACGCTGCATAGGTTCTGTAACTCCTTTGATGCATATTTAACTTACCTGCAACTGACAAACACAAAAATATCCTTTGTTGATAACACTAATGAAGGGTAATAAAATTTACCCCATCAATATCTTGTG